TCAACTTCTTGCCTGAAGGCTTTCACTGAGCTGTATGAATCATTGCATTGGTTATGCTGTTATAAACAGGATTTTAAAAAATCAATTAAGCCCTCTGTACTTTATGTTTGATGTCTCCCACCCAGGGTTATCTGTTTCAGGCTGTGTAAGTGGGTTAGGTAATGTGCTTCACCACACATAACATATTATTAGGAGCAAAGGCCACGTTGCTTCATTACACTGTATATTTGAATAAAAGGCAATAATTTGCCGTGCGAGTCTGTGATATTTGTCTGTAAGAAATGTACTTTGAGGGAAAAAAAAGTTCCCCAAAATAAGATTAATGAATGCGGCGCATTAGTATAAAGACTTCCGTGTCAAACTTCTAAGAAAAGTATGAAAAGAGTCTTTTCATGTTTTGTTTTTTTGTTTTGTTTTGGGGCTTTTTCTGAAACAGGGTCTGTGTGGAAATCTTTAAGCTAATTTACTGATGCAGACAACAATGTGAGTGAGTTTAATTAACATTCCCTGCCTGCTCTCTACTGCAAATTGCAGCCTTTTTCTTTTTCCTTATCGGCTTTACTGTACTGTATATGCTGCATGACTAAGTCTGACATTATCTGCCAGGCGGGTTTATGTAACATTAGCTGTACAATATGCTGTAAACACAGCTGGCTCTATACGGCAAAACAGTGCCAAGCAAAGTGCAGACGGTAATTATCCTTGTTTTTTTTATTTATTTATTTATTTTAGTTGGGAAATGTGTTTTGCTGGTTTCATTAGTATCTCAGCGAGACACGCAGGCAGTTTGTGAGATAGTGTCATCTGTTATAACAGACAGGTTTACCTTGCAGTAGACTGCTGATGAACTTTTGAGACATATTCCACAGCTCAACATAAAACGGATAAAACCTAGAAAAAAAAGTACTGCGTAATTTTCTCTCTTTCGCCGTACTTGTCTGTACTAGTTTCTCACTCACAATGGTTTTATTTTATCAGGCTGATTAATGGGCATTGTTTTCCTTCCGATCAGAATATTGCATTTTAAATAGCTTTATCCATGAAAAAGGCCACGTGATCTGTAGTATGCTGCCTGGAGCACCATTAACCTGATTTATTATCTAGACCAAAGAACCAAACGCACTGCTTGCGCTGCGCTGATTTTGGCTTTTTATACTGGACGATTATGAGAATTGATCGAACCGGTCAGACGATGAATGAAACCACAAGTCTTGTTTTGTTTTGTGTTTTTGTTTTTTTGCCTTACATGTGCAGTTTCCCCACTTCTGG